AGCAGGTGCAGTGGCCTTGAGGTGGGAACATGTTCGGGTCAGTGTGGGATGAGACACACAGAGTCAGGGAGCTGGGAGCCAAAAGATAGGTCCTTTCCACCTCTGAGGAGTGGGGTGATGTGCTCTGGCCTCACCTGTTTGTGGGTGGAGCATGGAAGGCAGGGGCAGGTAAGCAGGGAACTGTAATGTCCAGCAGGAGATGGTGGCGGACTGCACTGTAGGGTGACAGTGGTGGGAGGGTTGGATTCTAGATATAATTTGCAGGTAGAGCTACAAGAGTTCAAAGTTACGATGTGGGTTGTGTGGGGAAAAAGAGACAAATGTTGGTTCCTGGGTTTGGGGCCTGAAATAAATGACATGTGGGGGCTCAGGAAGGGCCACAACTGTTTGGGTCATAAGCTGAATTTGGACTGATAGGAATGGAAATGAGTCAGGCGTGCCGGGCCCGTGGCTGTCACAGCTCCAACGCCACAGTCTCTGACAGGAACCCCCTGGCACCTGCCTGTGTTTGATGTCTGCCCTAGGTGGGCCCTCCCAGTGTTGGGCTTTTTCAGTCACGCTGTGTGGCACCTGTTAGCCAGCTTCGTGCCCAGAGAGCTGGGTGTGTTGGACCTGGGAGTCCACGAGCAGGAGTAAGTAGGGCCATGGTCTTGATAACAGGTGAGGCAACCAGACCCCCACTCCTTGCATCCCACCTTTGTCCTCTGCCCCTGTGGTGTGTGGGTAGGGGTCCATCCTGGGGAAGACTGAAAGCTGAGTCCTAAGTGCACACTGGGCCTGCTGAACTTTGTCCGGCTATTAGCATCGGAGAGAGATTGTGGCTGAGCAGGGGCCCTGTACGAGCTTTCCCACGGTGGGCCCTCAGGAATTCTGGACCTTGGGCTGTGGGGGAGGCTCATCTCAGACAAAGGTTTAATGGCCTGGGATCAGGACAAACCCGAGGTTTCCTCAGTGACCTCTCAGGGCTCTGTCCTCTCAGGATTGTGCCAGTCCTTTGTACGGGTTTCTGATCTCCATACCCATCTCTGTGCCTCTTTGGGAATCTGTGATGTAGGCCCAGAGCCTGCACGCAGTGAGCACACAGTGAGGCTAGGCCAGCCCTGCCGATTCTCTAGCCCCAGGGCGTGTCTCCCTCTGCCCATGCATGGCCCCCAGGCCCCTGTGCACCCACAGGCTCAGGTCTGCATCTGAACAAGACTCAGGGACCCTTTAGCACGTTGCAGTTTGAGAAGCACTGCCGAATGCCACTCCCGAGGACCAGGCTTTGCATGTGTCATCTTCTCAGCAGCCCTAATAGGGTGGTATCCCCACTGGATGGCCAGGGAAGCGGAGGCTTCGGGAAGTAACCTGGTAGGTGGAGGTTACACACGAGTGAGTGGTGGGGCCAGCTGTGTACTCAGGGTGCAGAGCCAGGCTGAGCCATCAGCTATGCTGCCACGTGCGTCCAGATGAGAGCTCTGAGCAAGGGGTGGGCAGAGCAAGGGGGCAACGAGGGGGAGGTGGGCAGTGAAAAGCTGAGGGCTTATAGCATCTCAAGGCTTTACTGCCGGCATTGCTTCTTTACTTTGGAGCTTTGTGCCTGGGGGGATGCTTGTTAAATATCCACAGGGCATACCGTTTAGCGAGGGAGATCCTGGCCACCTGGGGATGCCACCAGGTGGTCAGAGCAGATGTGGCCAGAATGGTGGCAGGTGAGAAAGCTTCCTAGAGGAAGTGGGACTTGAACTGGGCCATGGGACGCTATTGTCTCGTTCCCCGAGGGAGTCTCACTCTGCAGGGAAGAGATGCTGGGGCCTACTGTGTGCAGGGCTCTGTGAAGAGAAAATTTCCATCATTTCACGGAGGGATCGTCAGGCCACAGCAGCTGTGTTCAAGGCTTTCTGACCTCATCTGGACTGTGCTGCAGTGCCTGGCAGGCCCGGGGTCTGTAGGGGACCCTGTGGACAGACAGGAGGAAGAAGGAAGTAGGGGTGGGAGGGAAGGATGGAGCAGCTGTCTCAGCCCATGAGGGTCACACTCTGGGAGAATGCCTGCTGTGTTCGGGTCCCTGGGCATCTCAGGTGCCAGGCAGGGGCCCGTTCAGGCCTGGCCTGGAAGGCGGAGGGAAGGATGGTAAGTTGGTAGGAAAATAGCTGGGTGATAGTGGCTGGAGGACTAGAGGCAGGTCCTGACCATTCTCAACCTCACTCTGCTCTGGATGGGAGACTCAGAAAATGGTGAGGAAAGTCTTTTCCCTCCTGGCCCCACCTCCCAGGATCTTCCTGCCCTAAAGGGGGCCTAGGCTGGGTTTGGGGAGTGCCTAGGGCTTGGCCTTTAAAGAGTCCAGATGGTGCCCAGTGTTGCTAGTGAGGACCCGAAGCTGTTCTAATTCCTGATGTATGAACCTGCCTCCCTCTTTGGGAGCCTCGGGGTCTTCCTCTGTATACCTGGTGTTCTGAGACACACCGTGACACCTGTGGCTGGGTCTTCCTTAGTTCCTTGTGCTGTATGCTTGTGGCCCTTCTGTCCTAGTGGTCATATCCTTCAGTTAAGAAAAAGTTTCTTGCATTTTTTTCTTTCACTGTTTCATCCACTTTGTGTTCTCTACATGTACTCTCTCTGTTTTTTTTCTTCTTAGTTAATAAACTTTGTTTTAGACCAGTTTTTTGTTAATCTTCACCGGAGGATATTTTTCCATTGATCTTTTAGAGAGAGTGAAAGAGAGAGGGAAAGACAGAGAGAAACATCTATGTGAGAGAAACATATCAATTGATTGCCTCCTGCATGTATCCTGATCAGGACCAGGGAGGAGTCTGCAACCAAGGTAGGTGCCCTTGACCAGAATCGAACCATGGACCCTTTGGTCTGCACGCCAACACTCTATTTACAGAGCCAAACTGGCCAGGGCTAGACCAGTTTTATGTGTACAGAAAAATGAGTGGAAAGTACAGTTAAAGTATGTTTATACTCCTTAAATTCCCTCAGTTTCCTCTATTATTAACACCTTGCAAATTTCCTGGGCTCACTGGTGGCTAAATTTGTTACCACTGATGAGCCAATATTGATATATTATTGTTAACACATTGTATGCGGGAAACGTGTTTACACGTTTTACGTATTTATACATTCTACCAGTGTAGTAGAGCGCGGGACACGTATTAATACGTTTTTTATAGACTAGTGGTAGAATGCGGGTAACGTATAAATATGTAAACTAAAGTTATCGTAATTTTACTGAACGTTGCCATTTGCGCAAAAAATTAGCAAAAATGGCCTGCACCACCTGTTAGCGCTCGATAAAAACTACCCGCAAACAATGTGTTAATTAGAACCTGTAGTTCACATTAGGGTTCACTCTTTGTGTTTTATATTCTGTGGGTTATGACAAATGTATAATGGCATGTACCTATCAGTATAGTATCATGCAGAATGGTTTCACTGCCCTGAGATGCCCTGTGAATTGTTGATTTTTCAGCTTGCTCAGCTTTGGTCTTGTTTGTGGATGGGAGAGAGGACTCCCAAGCTCCTCACACTTGGGAGCCGATTGCTCTCCTGCTTGACTGTCCAGTTATCTGGGGTGGACTTCCTTGGATTGACGTCTAACAGTTGCTTCATCCTTATCCTACATTCTGGAGATTTCCTCCAATTCATCTTGGAACACATCCTTTGAATTTTCAATTTCAGCTCTTATGTGCCGGGGAGGTTACACATTCTGGGTGCTAGTGTGAGAAGGGGGCCTGTTTCCAGATGTGCCTGACCGCATCATTTAGGCCTGGTTCCCGACGTCCAGAACCTTTCTGGTTCAGTCTCTCTACAGTCTCTCCGCTCACACCTGTGGAGGTGGGCAGGCGTGTGACCTGGGTGAGTGGGGTGGGAAGGGGGCCTATGGAGGTGTCCAGGAGCTCCACACAGATGCCGTGTGGTGCGGCCAGCCAGCCAGAGTCAGCTGGGTCAGCCCTTCCTTCTTGGGCCTTCCCCCAGGAGTCTGAGCCGTTGGTGAGGAGGATTTGGGAAGCAGAGGAAGGAAGAGCTCTGCGCACACCCCTCCCCTGTAGCATGGGCTCCATCCCCCCGGTCATGTGTGTTAGGGTGTCTCTGGGAGTGTGTAGTGGGAAGAACATGGGCTTTGGGGTGATAGAAACCTGGCTCCGCCTCTCCCCTCTCCTTCCTGGCAGCTTGTTCTAGGATGAGTGACCACTTGAGCCTCGACCTCCTCATCTGTGAAATTGGGGTCGTGTCCCGACCTTGTGGGCTGGCTGTGAGGTGTGAATAAGTGGGAATGAGATGAGAAGCCTGCATTCTGTTGTAACACACAGTAGACGCTCACCAGACACCAGCCCTCGCTCCCATCCCTGGGCCTCTTGCTTACGGCCCCTTTGTGCCGTCTTGTCTGCTCCTCCATCTTGCAGAGCTGCTCCTGGTGGGACGTGGGGCGAGTCAGTGAGTGGGTGAGGTGTGTGTGTGCATGTGCTAGTGCTCCTGTGTTCCTGGCCCAGGGCCTGTGGGTGAGCTGTTCTTTCCTGGGCTCACTGGTGGCTCAGAGCAGAGCTCTGGCTGGGACTGGCCAGGGGGGTGATGTAAACAGGGAAGAATGTGGGCAGGTCTGTCTGTAACTGGGGCCTGAGATGTGAGAGTCCTTCCCAGACCCAGCCTCACCTCTCCCGGCCTCTGAGTTCCAGTTGTGGGGGGATGGGGCACTCCAGGGAAGGTGCTGGGGTGGAGGAGCTATGGTGTGGTGACCCCTGCCCTGCCTAGCAGCACCACGGAGCTTCCCCTACTCAGGATGTGGCTTTCTTCATCATGGAGGAGTTTTGGATAGTTTCTCAGCTATGCCTGTGGCCTGGGAGGCAGGGCCTGTGTGTCAGAGCAGGAGCCTGTGGTGAGAGGCGTCATAGCCCCAAAGCAAGGAGGGACCCTGTGAGGTGACAGACACTGAAGGGGAGGGGTGTGGCGGGGGGGGGGGGGCAGACTCCCTGTGTCTGTGACCAGAGCTCTACCCGACTTCCCCTACCCTCTCACAGGTGGTACAAGCTGCACTCCAAGCCAGGCAAGAAGGACAAGGAACGTGGGGAGATCCAAGTGACCATCCAGTTCACGCGTAACAACTTGAGCGCCAGCATGTTCGACCTGTCCATGAAGGACAAGCCGCGGTCCCCCTTTAGCAAGCTCAAGGACAAGATGAAGGGCAAGAAGAAGTATGACCTGGAGTCCGCGTCTGCCATCCTCCCCAGCAGTGCCCTGGAGGACCCCGAGCTGGGCAGCCTGAGCAGGATGGGCAAGGCCAAGGGCTTCTTCCTCCGCAACAAGCTGCGCAAGTCGTCCCTGACCCAGTCCAACACCTCGCTGGGCTCGGACAGCACCCTGTCCTCAGCCAGCGGGAGCCTGGTCTTTCAGGGCCCTGGGGCCGAGCTCCTCACCCGGTCCCCGAGCCGCAGCAGCTGGCTGTCCACTGACGGGGGTGAGCGAGGGGGGCCGCCCCTGCTGTGGTGGGTCGTGGCGCTCGGTCTCCATCCAGGGAGCAGGGGAGGTCCCTGGCCAGGAAACGGGTCTTCTCTGCCCTGTGCTAACCCTGGGTGTGCTTCCTTTTCAGGCAGGGACACTGCACAGTCCCCCAAGTTGTTCACCCACAAAAGGACCCACAGCGACGAGGCCAGCCAGATGCGAGCAGCTCCTCCCCGGGCCCTTCTCGACCTTCAGGGCCACCTGGACCCTGCCACCCGCTCCTCTCTCTGTGTCAATGGAAGCCACATTTACAACGAGGAGCCCCAGGGCCTCTTGCGGCACCGCAGCTCCATCTCGGGCCCATTTCCACCCTTCAGCTCCCTACACAGCGGTTCTTCTCGGCCCTCTGAGGAAGGATCCCGGGCTGCAGATGACTCCTGGGGCAGAGGCAGCCGCCGCACCAGCAGCTCAGAGGCAGTGCCTGGACAGGAGCTGAGCACTCAGGCTAAAGCGCTGGCCACTGAGGCCAGCCACTCTGGAGAGGAGGAGGGGGCCCAGCTCTCAGAGGGGAAGCCAGTGCAGGTTGCCACACCCATGGTGGCCTCCTCCGAGGCTGTGGCGGAGAAGGAGGGAGCCCGGAAGGAGGAGCGGAAGCCCCGGATGGGCCTCTTCCACCATCACCATCAGGGGCTGAGTCGGAGCGAGTTGGGGCGCCGCGGCTCTCTCGGGGAGAAAGGGGGTTCCACCCCCGGCGCCTCACCCCATCATTCATCCACCGGGGAGGAGAAGGTCAAGAGTAGCTGGTTTGGCTTAAGGGAAGCCAAGGAACCAACTCAGAAACCCAGGTATGTCCTTGGCAAAACCAGCTTTGCCCCTTGGGGAGGATGCTGGAGTGTTAGCAGCCTGGACCGGGCTGGGAGGATGGAGCTGCCGAGGTGGCCCTGGGGCAGACTGCTGGGGCTGCTTTGCATGGTTGAGTGGGGCTCTCCCTAAGCCAAGGCTCTTTGCCTGCACTTGGAGGCAGTGAGTGTGAGGGCCCAGTGGATTGAGGAGAACTCTTCAATGGTGGCCTCGCTTCATGGCAGACCCGCCCACCGAGGGAGTGGGAGGAACAGGAGAAAAACAGGAAAGCCATTTGTATGAATTTTTGTTTCTTAACCTCCACCTCTTGCCCTTCGGCCTCCAGGTAAGGAAGCCTTGGCAGGTAGAGAGGTGGGGACTGGGGCTACACCTCAGGCTTCCCCACCTCCCTGAAGCTAGCCGACCTCCCCCAGTTGCCCCAGCTGTTCTTGATCTCTTCCCCCTAAGAGGGAAGTCAAGTAATTGATGCCCGCCCATATACCCACCTCCAATTGCTCCCCTGTCTTGGCAAGAGGCTGTGGGCAGCTCCCCTGAAATCTGAACCTCCCCCTGTCCTTGGAGACCCTGGGCCCTGGCCCTCTGGGGGTCTCTTGGTTCTGAGGCATGGCAAGTGCTGAGGATGGCCACTTGGTTTTGAAGGTGCTGAGTCCCACCAAAAGAGGGATGCAGGAGTCCTTTAGCTCAGGCCCTGGACAGAGCTCCTAAGAGGGTTCTGATACCAATTAGGATAATGCATCCAGTTCCAGTGTGGGGGTGGGTAGGTTCCCCACACATCCAAGGGATTCTCTGACACCAGCTGGGTGTCCTACAATTCAACTCAACTCTGACACTGTTTACTCAGAGGTAGCACCTGATTCCACAGGTAAAGGACTCAGTCCTACAGGACACCCGCCCTCTCCCACCACTTCAGACACCAGTCCCCAGTCCGTGCTTCAGACTGGCCAGCCATGCTAGCAGGCTCCAGCAGCTCCCTCCTTGGGTTCAATTAATTTGCTAGAGCAGCTCACAGAACTCAGAGTAACATTTTACTTACTGGGTCACGGGTTTGTTATAAAAGGCTATAACTCAGCAACAGCCGATGGAAGAGATGCACAGGGCGTGGTATGGTGAAAGGGCACCACACTTCCATGCCCTGTCAGAGCACAGCCACTCTCCCCAGAACTCTGAGTGCTCACCATCCGGAAGCTCTCCCAGTCCTTGCTAGTTTTGTGGAGGCTTCATTGCATGGGTGTGAGGGATTACATCCTTGGCCATTGGCTCAATCTCCTCCCCCAAAATTAAGGGGTGGGACTGAAAGCTCCAACCCTGTTTATGGTTGTTTCCCTTGGCAACCAGCCCCCTCCCATTAGGTGCTTTCCAAAAGTTACCTCATTACATAAACCCAGATGTGGTGAAAGGGGATTGTTAGGAATAACAAGCACCCACTTCACCTTCATGGCTCCGAAGTGTTTTCAGGAACTGAGAACAAGAGACCAAATATTATAACAAAAGGTTCTCCATTGTCATCTCTCAGGAAATTTCAAGAGGTTTGGAAACCGTGATCCAGGAACTTCATCAGAGCACATACGAGAAATATGTGTTTCTTGTAAATCACAATATCGCAGCCCCTGACCACCACTCTGGCCCCTTTGCCTTTTTCCAACTCTGCGCCTTCCACTGCTGCTGACAGTCTAACAGGGCCCAGGGTGAGGCTCTAGGCCTGGGCGATAGGCCATGTATTCGCCATTCTCAAAGGCCTGAGGCCAGTTCTACACAGGAGCATGCATGGCAACCCTGATGAGTGTGGCAAAGGCAACCGTTCCTGCTCTCTCAGCAAGCCTGCTCCTTCCCTTTACGGATACAGGGGCAGGAAGTGGGGTGGGAAGGCTGGGCACAGTGGTGAAGGGTCAAGTGATAGGGTAGAGGGAAGGTCCCTAAACCTCTTCCTGAAGTCCTGGTTCTTCCTTTCCCTGTGAAATTCTGCTGAGAGGAATGGGGATGGAATGCAGGGCCTTTTGCGGTGTGGGCCCTGGCCAGCTGGTAGCCTCATAGACAGGAATGAGGGTGGATCAGCCTCTGAGTGAGGCTGCCCTTCGCTTCCCCTGCCTAGGACATCACCCTCAGTCCCTTCTGCCCAGCCCCTACCCACCAGAGTCCAGGGGAACGGCTGGCCACTGGTACCCTAGGGGAGGAGTAGGAAGAAAGGTTTGGTCCTGTGACAACTCAGATCTTTGTAGGAGGTGGAAGAGAGGGAGGTAGTAGAAGACCCAGACAGGGCATTTGCTGGGAGCAATTGGGGGCCAGGGTCAGAAGGGGCACAGACCATGGGCTTGGTGCTGTCATTTATGGGTATCTCCGGGCCTTTTCTGGGCAGGACAGATGCTGGGGGACACCTCTCTGTGAGGTCATTTCTAGGTGCTTGCCCAGGTTTGGGGCGTAGACCCCTGCAGGCCGTGTCTCTGAGTGATGCTGGGGTTGTCACTGCTCCTGCTTACAGCCTCCGTTTTCCTTCTGTTTCTCCATGTCTCCTCATGGCCTTTGAGAGGCCAGATGGACATAAGAAGCTGTGAGATGTTTGTTCTCCTATTTGAATTCTGAGCTTGTCCACAGCTGGTTGGAGGGCACCTGGGGCATCCCTGCCCTCCCTCGGGCCCATTTGCAGCGTAGGCTCTGTGGCCTTGCATCCAGGCAGGGCGGGAGGGGCATTTCTTTGGGTGAAGGGGCTTGGCCAGGAGAGGCAGGAAACCTGGCTGTTGAGCTCCATTAGTGTCACCCTGGGCCCGTGTGCCTTGAGGGGATGGGGAGGCTGGCCTGGAAAAAATAATGGTCCGTGCTTACCCAGAAGGCTTGCCTAGGGCTTTTGAGGAGAATAGGAGAGCTGAGCTGACTCACTGCAGGAAGCGATAGGCTAGACACCCAGAACTGGACTGCCTGCCTGAATATAGCTGCAGGATCCCCAGCTGGGGACACGAAGCTGTTCCCAGGCTCAGAGGTTTGGGGGGCCTCTGCCCTGGGGCCGCACTTGTGCTCACGAGGAAGGGCAGCGGCGCCCTCTAGTGCTCTCAGGTGGCACTGATGCCCCGTGGAGAGCCCCGAAGCAGTGTGTGACACACAGTATCCAGAAAAAAGAAGGCAGTGGCTGGAGGAGGGGGAACAATGGCTTGAGGGCTGAGAAGAGAGTCCTCCTGTTCTTTCTGACCTGGCCCCTCCTTTGCCCGGTTCTGTGGCTGTTACACTAGGCCCCTACCAGTGTGTGTGTGTCCGGGGGAGGGGAGAATTGGTAACGGACACCAAGCCCCATCGGGCCACTGGACACGTCCCCATTCCCCAGCCCTGCAGTGAGCCGTTCATTTTGAGCTGCAGTGAAGGCTACTTGGTGTGTGTTTAGGGCCACCACGACCATGGGCGCTATCCTGCCAGGTCCAGGTTTGTTTTTGTGTCTGTTCCTCCCTTTCTGATCCTTTTAGAGCATCAGCTTCCCAAGGGCAGACCACTCTATCCCCTGCCCTCCTCCACAAGTGGTAGTTACAAACATTGTTTTAATCGGGGGAAAGTGAAACTACACAGATGCAAGTGTACTGTGGCCTTTCTCCATCTCTGCCTCCGCCCCAGCCCCTCAGCGGGGGTGGTGGACAAAGTCCCCAGAGCCTGGAGGGTGCAGTGGCCACCGGGAGAGCTCGCATTCTCAGTGGAGTAAATGAGTGACCATGCTGTGTGCCCAGTGACTTAGAGTTAGTGTGGCCATCCGCCTGTTTGTGCCTGTTTCCGGGCATAGTTAATAGTGTCTCTCCCATAGTTAAAATGTTCCAGTTTGGGAGATAAATCATGTGGTTCCCTACTTACAGCTCACAGGCCCCACCATGTCACCTCATTGTGCCCAGATGCTGGGAGAGAATATGTCCTGTCTCCCGGACACGCCTCCTGGCCATTGGGCACGTTGCAGGCAGAGGACGGGAGCTCATGCCTCAGGACAGGTGGCTGAAGGGCGCGGTGGCTGGGGCTGGTTACACCTCAAAGGCTGGCTGCAGCCTTTTGGGAAGCTGCCCGGAGGCGAGCCTTTGCAGATCCACAGGTCATCTCTGGGGTCAAGGTGTGGAAATAAAAAGACAGAGCTCATCTCAGCCTAAGGAAGAGCCGTCCACCAGCCACGGAGGTGGCCCGTGGTAGAGTGAGTTGCCAGTTCCAGGGCTTAAGAAGAGGGGGGCTGTTGGAGAGAACAGGTGATTCCTCCGTTAAATGGCAGGTTTAACCAGTTGTTCGAAAGTTCCTGCAGGCCCTAAAGTTTTATTTCCATAGCTTGAGAGGGCAGAGCCATTTGGATTTCTGATTTCTTTCCCTAATTCTTGATCTTAGAAGATGAATCAGCATACGTTGAAGCTCCCACTGCTTGATGGGAGCACGGCACTGTGCTAGGCTGTGTGGGTTCTGGGATGCAGGTGTTTATGTCTATCTTCAGAGCATAACCTGCAAAGCTAAGCACATATGGGCACGTGTCTCTATCTGCCAGGTGGAATGGTAGGGAGGGGATGTTCCAAGGTGAGAACCTTCAGAATGGGCATCTCATGGATCAAGGGTGAGCTAGGCTGGGGGAGGGGTGTATTGCTAGGTAGGAGGGATGGATGGATGTTCTTAGAGGGAGCCTGTCCAGCTCTGGGGAGCCTGCTGGGCCAGGCACCTGGAGTCCCTTACTCCAGGGAGACCTGCTTGCCGGTTCCATACCAACGGGTTTGTGTGCACCTCTGGGGAGGCAGTGGCGTTGCCAGCCTAGGCTGGGGCTCCAGCCTGCTTCCCTGCTGCTCTGCTGCCCTGTAGTTCCGACTGCCAACCCAAACTGCAAGGGTGAGTAGGGCCAGCCGGGGCTGCGCTTGGTGCTGTTTAAAGTTAATGGAGCCCTCTTCCCTCAGACCCCTATGGCCACTTGTCATAAGGAGACTGGGGAAAGTGGTGGCTCAGAGGACCCAGCCCTGCTCCTTGGGGCTGAGACCTGCCCACAGGGGTGGCTGTGTTTGGTATGGGTGCTTCAGTGGAGGGGGTGTCTTGATTCACGTAGTGGTGGTACATCACTTTCCTTAATCCCCAAGGTAGGTGTGTGCCTTGGCCCTGGGGCCTGCCTGCAATGAGGGGAGAAGGGATGTTTGTAGAGGCTGGGACTCTAGGCCTAGGATCCTCCCGTGTTGTAATCACAGAGGCAGAGTGGTACAGGGAAGCCTCCCCCTTCATCTCTAGGTGGTAGCATGAGACTGAGAACCCGCCCCAGATGGGGACTTATTGTAGCGCAAAAATAGGGGCAGCAGAGTCTCTGGAAGCTGGATTCTTTTTTTTTTTTTTAAATATATTTTATTGATTCCTTACAGAGGAAGGGAGAGAGATAGAGAGCTAGAAACATCGATGGGAGAGAAACATCGATGGGAGAGAAACATCGATCAGCCGCCTCCTGCACATCCCCCACTGGGGATGTGCCCGCAACCCAGGCACACGCCCTTGACCGGAATCGAACCCGGGACCCCCCAGTCCGCAGGCCAACGCTCTATCCACTGAGCCAAACCGGTTTCGGCTGGATTCTTAATAGAAACCCAGGATGGGGACTGGGCTCCCAGACTTACAGACTGTTGGGAAGCCCACCTTTGCCCTAGTTGAGCCAACTCCTTCCCGTCCCCTGCCCACGGTGTTTGTGGACCGGCCGACTCTACGTCTGCCCAGCTCTGTGTGGGGCCTGCTCTGTCCGGGGCCCTGGTTCTTGGAAGAATCCTGGTAAGCACCGGACTTCTTGGCCTCTTTCCCTAATGCCCCTCTAGTCTAACCGGTAGCCCTTAGGACTTCTGCCAGCTCATGGCCTGTCCCCAGGACTTCCCCGTGGAAGGCAGCAGCTTGAGGGGAAGATGGATGTGTAGAAGTTCCCATGATGTATCCACTTGGGCAGGGATTAAGAATTGGGATCTTGGGGCTTAGAGTCGGGCCTGAGAGATGAGGCTCAGTAGGTGAGGCCACAGGAGTCTGGATCTGACTTGGGGTCAGCGACAAGGCAGCTGCAAATCGCAGTCAGACTGGGTTTGGGGTGCTGGGTCCTGACTGTCCTTTCTGGCTCTCTCTGTGTCCTGGGAGTGTCCTGGGGAAACTGAGAGCAGCTCTAGTTTCAGAGTCTTCCCTGCCCACACCCCTAAAGCCCACTGCACACTGTAGACAAGATGCACCTACAGAGGATGCCCCCTCCCAGAGAGGAGGGGACATGTGCAGGCCAGCCAATGCTCTCCAGGATTTTGGGGCATGTAGGCTCATTTCCATGGGATGGATTTTCCAGGGGAGCCAGGGATCTGTGTGGGGGGTGGGGGGAACCCAGGAGGCCCCTGGCGACTCCCAGCCAGCTGCTTTCCAGGCTGGCCTGTGGGTGCTGGGGTACAGAGCACCGTCTGCCTGATGCTGGTCCCTGTGGATGCCTGACAGCAGATGTCCTCAGCAGTGCCTTGCTGTCCTCCTTGGACAGTTATGTGCTGATACCTTGTCATGCCTGACAGCAGCCCAGCATCACCACCTGTTTCTGTGAGGGGTTGGCAAAGTCAGTCATGTCTCTGATAGTGAGGGCTTTGTCTAGCCAGATACCAGGCTGGCCTTTCTCTGGCCTCTCCCCCTCCAAGCCAGTCCTGAAGGGATGTGAGGTGCGTTCTGATTGGCTCCCAAGCATAATTCTGGTGTTGAGTGGAATCTTCAGCATGGGGTAGTGGAAAGAACACTTGGTTTAGGTTGGGGCCCTGCCTGTAAAATGGGATTATTGCTTCCCAGGGTTGGTGTGAGGCTTCAATGAACTCCACCCAGCATCTTCCTCCTTGGGTGGTGCCTAATGTAGGTTACATGTTGGGTTTTCCCTCTGTCTGCTGGCCTACACACGTGCCTGAAACCAGCCTGGGTGGCGTGTGGCACCTCGTCCAGGGGCAGCTGGGGGGCAGGGGGCATGGTATTCAGCAGGGGTGTTTCCAGTCTTGGCATTAACCAGGAGGCTCATGGTTTTGTCTCCCTCCACAGCCTGGACGTGTCTCCTCAGGTAGAACCTGACCCAGCTGCTCTTCCTCACCACCTCCCCTGCTCCCCCTGTGCTCCAGCCCCCCCCACTCCTGCTCCCACCGCTGCTCCCATGCTAAGCACTAACCTTTTTGCAGCCGCCTCCCCCGCTGCAGCTGCCGCCACCGCTGCCCCTGAAGCTACCCCACCTGGATTCTTGGGTCTCACCAACCCATTCCTCACCTCCTTGCAGAGCAACCCTTTCTTCGAGGAACTCCTAGCCGACAAAGCACTAAACTTTCCTTCACCTGCTCCCTCTCTCCCCAGGGCCTCGAGGGCCGGTCCCACCCCCCTGGCCTCCCCTGGGAAAGCCCTGCCTGAGTGGGAAGACACCTTCAACGTCTTTGCTGCCAGCAGGCTGTGTCCAGAGGCCAGGAGTGAGATCCTGGCCCCTGAAGGAGTGGGGCTGCAAGACCCAGGCCCTGGGGCCATGGCAGTGAAGGCAGCTGAGCCCCCAGGGGGCCCAGGGGGAGGAGGAAGAGGTGGGAGCAGCGAGGGGCTGGAGTCCAGGGCTCCTCTGGACTTGGGACTGGACCACCAGAGTTTGAGTGCTGCCGCCCCGGGGCCCCTGGGGTCTGTAGAGGCCGGCCTGCCCTCCACGTCAGCCTTGCTGCACCCGGGAGCCTCAGACTCAGAAGCAGACAGGGAGCCGACGGCCCCAGGAGGGGAAGCAGGGCAGAGTCCAGCAGACAGTTCATCTCTGTTTAGCTCCCCAGAAGTGATCAGCGTGTGGGAGAGGCTGCCAGGCCCGGACGACGCCCCTGAGGGCCAGCGTGAGGAGGCTTCCAGAGGCAAAAGCCAGGTTTTGCAGGAGCTCAATACGGTGGACGATTCCTGGCCTTGGGATGTGGTCACCCTTTCTCCTGCGGCTGAGATGTCCTCACCAATCACACGGGGAGAGTCTGATGAACTGCCTCCTCCCCCCATGAAGCCAGAGTCACCAAAGCCTGTGAGCCCCAAGGGGAACCAGGGGCTCTCCCAACTGGAGCTGGAGCCAGAGCCCAAACCCGAGTGGATGTTGGACAAGGAGCTGCCGCCCAGCATGCTGCCTCCCAAGCCACCTCGCCTCTTCATACCCTCAGATTTCCAGGAGGAGGAGGAGGCTGCAGGGGGGCTGAGTGGCAGGGGGGCAGAGACGGAAGGCGACGCCTTCCCAAGTGCGCTGGCTGCTGGTTCCCCGGAGGCCAAGGAGGACGGCCAGAAGCCAGGGTCCGAGTCTGACAGCTGTTCTTCCGGAACCCTGCTGGGTGAGCCAAGCCTGGAGGAGCCAGTGGAGGACGCCAGCCCTCCTGCGACTTTATCTCTGCCCACCAGCTGCCCTGAGGGTCCTGCCCCCATGCCCTCTCACTCAAAGAGCCTGGTTCTTCAGAGCCAGCAGATCTGGGGGGCTCTGGAGAGAGGACAAGGCCCTGAGGCTCCTGAGGCCCAGAGCCAGGAACCAGCAGGAGAAGGGCTTGGACCCCTGCCGGGCAGCTCCCCCCAGCCTGACTTGTGGGCTTTGGAGGAGGATGCCTTGAACCCCTTCTTGTCTCAGGAGAGCCGAGATCCCCCCAGCCTCCCCTCCACATCCCCTCCAGAGTCCAGGGAATCATCCATCCACTCTGGACCAGAAGAGCTGCCCACACCCCCGGAGCCCACCTTTCCACCGCCCCCTCTCCCGCCCTGGGCCAGCCACTGCCACGGGGGGCCCAGTTCTCCATGCTCTCCTTTGCCTGGAGCCTGGCCCCTGACCTCTTCCTCCCTGTCCCCCGGGGAGCCAGCCTCCCCCCCGGGGGGCTCCCCTGCCCCACTTGGGGAGGACCACGCTGCAGTCACCCCAGCCTCCCCGCTTGCGCTTCTGCCCTTGGAGACACGACCAGCTGAGGAACCACAGCCCAGTGACAGGTGAGCGGCCACCCGAAAGCAGTCTCCAGGAGGAAGGGTGAAGGGGGCAACTCAGCCTGCAAGGGCCTCAGCCCTCCAGGGGCTGTCCCTCCTGGGCGAGGGCTTGCTCACCCCGGCAGGACAAAGGGGGCTTTGAAGACATGGGTCTCCTGTGGTCCCGGCTCTGAAACTGCCTCCATTTTGGGACCTTGGACCAGCAGGTGCCCCCACAGGCCAGGACTCTGGGGGATGACAACGCTGATGAAATGCAGGGGGTGAGGAGTGGGTGGGGAGGTATTGCAGGTGGGCAGGGAAAGGGAGGTGAGAGCAACTCGGGGCTGGTGGGGGGAGTGTAGCTTGTCAGATGCCCCCGTCCCTCCCGTCCTCTGCGCCAGGCCCCAGGGTGAGAGGATGTGGAAGGCAGAGAGCCAGAGGACAGAGAAGGAGCTGGCACTGAGGTCAGAGAGGAAAGCGGAGACATCACTGAGGAGGAAAAGAAAAAAGGAATGCATCCCACATCTGTGACCCTCAGAAGAAAGGGTCTCTAGCCTCATCAGGTGCTTCACTGGTTTGTGGTGGTGCCTTCAGGGTGGCCCCAGGCGCTTAGGACTGTGCTGAGTTGACAGTGGTTGCCCGTGTGACTGGTCACTGGCATTGGTCTGCTTTGGAAGAATTATGAGGTGGTGTCCTCACCGGGTGGCTAACGAGGAGTGCCCAGGTCACTGTTGGTGACAGGGTGTGACTTAGCAGGGGCAGCAAAGTCTAGAGGCGTGCCAGCGCCCCAGGAGGCCTGAGGGGAGCAGCGAGGGGAGCAGAGGTGCTGCTCTGATGAGCAGGGAAGGGAGGGGCTTGGGGAGCAGGGCAGGCTCCAGCACCGGCCTCTGGGAGGCCCGTCCCCGGCTCCTGCATTCAGTCCTCCCAGTTCACTGAGCATCCAGTGTGTCAGACACTTGACAGGGATGAAAGATGCTGTCTCTGCTGTGTTGCCAGGAGTTCCAGCCCAGTGGGGAGGATGGAGGTGAAGCATGAAGGGAAGGCCCTGGGGCCATGCTGATCTGAGAAGGGGTGGGAAGCAGACCGGGCTGCCTGCCTGCGGCTGCAGTGCTAGGTGGTGCGGCCATTCCCAGAGATGTGGGGGAAGAGGCGGAACAGCTTCCCAGTGCCCTCCGCTGGCCCTGCTGTATCCCAGCAGCACTTCCAAGTGCACTCACCACTTTTTACCCGTTTTATTCTCTTCAGAGTTGGCTTCCTGTCTGTACTTTGCACGTTCCTTACATCTTGGGGAAAAAAATGGGGACATAGAGTCCATAAGAGCTTCAGGGTCCAGGGTCCCTCAGGTGCAGGGGAGCAATCAGACCCGGAGCCCAGGATGCCTGGCCCCCATTCAGGGTGTTTGCATGCCTCACTGGTATTCCTCCCTGCCCCTAGCTGTGCTGCCCATAGGTGGCAGCAGAGCTGCCTTTACGCCCCCTTCCCTAATGCAAACGCCTGGGTGGGAAGGACAGATGTTCTTTTCCCTGCTGCCTGCCCCTGCCTGGGCTCTCTGCTCTCTTCCCAGGTTGTGGGCCTCCCTGCATGTGGGTGAGCCCTTCTGCAGTGGATTTCAGGCCTTGGCCTAAGCCATTTGCTTCCTACCCTCTAATGGTTCGAATCCTCCATGAAGTAGATGTAAAGAGGTCCCCTAGGGCAGTGGTTGGCAAACTCATTAGTCAGCAGAGCCAAATATCAACAATACTTCTTCAAAACAGACTCGCCCAGGCAGAAAACTGACTTCTGCGCATGGGCCACGAAGTTTCAATTGTACTGTACGTGCACCCGCACGTGGTATTTCGTGGAAGAGCCACACTCAAGGGGCCAAAGAGCCGCATGTGGCTTGCAAGCTGCAGTTTGCCGACCACGGCTCTAAGGGTAGGTTAATTGAATTAGGGGCCTGATGCTTGCAATTTGGGTAACTGTCACAGGTACGGGTGCTGGGGGCCCAGAGAAGGGACAGCTTAGTCTGGGGGAAGCAGGAAGGTTTCCTGGAGGAAGTGGCCTTGCTCAATTTTGAAACCTGAGTAGGAGTTAGCAGGCCCACAGGCCAAGGGGCAGCGCTTCAGACAGAGGGAGAGCCTGTGTCCTGGCTGAAGTGCATGGAGGGCTGGGAGGGAAGGCCAGGCGCCCTGACCCTGGGAGGGAGGCTGAAATCATGAGCCCACAGCACAGTGGAGTGGTTGGAGGTGGGCAGGACTCTGGCAGGGGAGTTGGGGGGCGGAGAGGGGGGCTGACTTAGCAGCTGTGGCCAGAGGAGGAAGGTTTAGCGAGCCCTGGCCTGGCGAGGAAGGAGTGGTTTGAGAGGAGGTAGCAGGGCTTAATGTTTGTTAAGGCTAAAGCCAAAGCTGGGGGTTCAGAGGAGGTCCCAGGTTTCTGACTAGAGCCATGGGCGGCGGATGGTGCCACTCAGCACTGGGGAGCCCAGGAAAGGGCAGGCGTGGAGGGGAGGGTGACATGCCTGGGGTGGATCCCACGTGGATAAGCCAGCCCGAAACTGTCTGCGTGGGTCTAGAGCAGGGGTGGGCAAACTTTTTGACTCGAGGGCCACAATGGGTTCTTAAACTGGACCGGAGGGCCGGAACAAAAGCATGGATGGTGTGTTTGTGTGAACTAATATAAATTCAAAGTAAACATCATTACATAAAAGGGTACGGTCTTTTTTTTTTTTTTAGTTTTATTCATTTCAAACGGGCCGGATCCGGCCCGCGGGCCGTAGTTTGCCCATGGCTGGTCTAGAACTTGGGGCTGAGGTCTAGGCTGGAGACCGCTGTGAGGAGGTAGAGGGGAGAGAACCCCCGGCAGACTCGCATTTAAGACTGAGAAGTTGGGAAAGCAGAGAAGGGCATGGGGTGAGGGGAGGGCGGGGGAAATGGAGGAGAGCAGCCCAAAGGAAGGAGTGGTCCCAGAGTCTACGCCACAGAGCGGTCAGGAAGGAGAGAACCGGGTCTCCGCAGGAACGTTTGTGATGGGCTAGCGGGGCCCACGTCCTGTTCTCTGGGTTGAGGAGTCAGTGAAGGTAGGAACTTAGACGGAATGTGGTCTACACGCTCTGGAGAGGCTGGGTGAGGAGGAAGAGGTGGGTGACTGAGGGCGGTAGCCAGGCAAACACAAACCCGTGTAAATGCTGAGGGGAAGCAACCAAGGGAGAGACACGGGCAGCCTAGTGTCCCAGTTTGCCCAGCTCTTTCCTGGTTGGCACGGCAAGTCCCACCTCCTGGGAGTCCCCAGTCCTGAGAAAATTGGGAAACTGGGAGGGTTGGTCACACTCCTCTCCCGCAACCAGAGAAAAGTTACAATACAGAAGAGGATGGAGGGAAGATGGGAGGAGGGGGCAGCCCTGGCGAAGACTGGGTACAGGTGCAGAGAAGTCTGAGAGAGGCCTCTGCTGTCCCGGTGAAGGGGCAGGGCCATCTGAGGGAGTAAAATGGGGAGGGGCAGGTGGCAGGGTGCTGAGGAATGTTGGGCACAGCTGCCCAGAGGCCTTGCTTTGTAGGGGCAGCCACCAGAGGAAGTGGTGGGTCTCTGTCCAGCAGAACTGTGGCCCTACCTTCTCCGTGTGCTGCCCGTCCCTCCCCATAACGCATCTCCTGTCTGTCTCCGCAGTCCCCACCCCGTGAAGCCGCTCAGTGCTGCCCCTGTGGAGGGCAGCCCCGACAGGAAGCAGCCCCGCTCCAGCCTGAGCACCGCCCTGAGCAGTGGGCTGGAGAAGCTCAAGACAGTCACGTCCGGCAGCGTGCAGCCTGTGGCGCCGGCCTCCCAGGTTGGCCAGACTGTGGACACCAAAAGGCTGAAGGTGAGGCCTAGCAGCATGCCATGGGGGATCAATCAGACGTGTGGTGCTGGGGAGAGAGGAATTCAGAAACAGGGTGCTGGGCAGGGTGCAGCAAGGAGCAGGCCTGGCCTCCCGTGCCAGAGCCCGGAAGCCAGTTAGGCCGTTTCTGGCATTGGCGACAGGCAGCTCCGGGGCCGGTGTAACTGGGGTGTCGGTGGCCAGGCAGGCAGTTAGGCCTGAGGGTGCCCTGCTCACTCTCGTTCCATCTGCCCTCAGGATGCCGGTGTGCTAGACCAGTCCGCCAAGTACTACCACCTGACCCACGACGAGCTCATCGGCCTGCTCCTGCAGCGCGAGCGGGAGCTGAGCCAGCGGGACGAGCACGTGCAGGAGCTGGAGAGCTACATTGACCGGCTGCTGGTGCGGATCATGGAGACCTCGCCCACACTGCTGCAGATCCCCCCTGACCCCCCAAAGTAGCCCTCTCACCCCCACCCCCCAGGAGGGTGGGCGTGGACCCATTGCTCAAGCAGGGCTCACATCCTCCCTCCTGCTGAACTCACTCCCTGGGCAGGCACAGTCTGTCCTTGGTTGTTACCCCTGGCTCCCCCTCCCTCCTGCCTCAACTGGGGCTGCTGGAAGGAGGGCCTTTGGACTCCGATTAGAGGTGGGTCTCACCCACCTGCCTGTTTTCATACCCCTTAGCTTTGGGGGTTCCAGAAATTAGAACAAAGAATTTAACCCTCAAGACAGCAGGGGTGAGCTGCAATTTGATGTGGTATCTGGGACATACTTTATTACCCCACAGGGATGGTCAGCCATTTCTCCCACAGCTAAACGCTTTTCCTCTTCATCTTCCTCCAGCCCCTGGAGGGCTCCTGGTATTACTAGGGCTGTGGCAGGGACCAAGCTGCCGATTTGTCTGTGAGTTATGGGCAACCAGGCACCTGCTCTTCAGCCTCAAGTCGTTCTCCGAGAACAAGGAGCCTGTATGGTCTAGTGCAGCGGTCGCCAATCTTTTGGACCTCACGGACCACCAGGGGTCCGCGGACCACCTGTTGGCCACCGCTGGTCTGATGTCCTGTCTGCCATGTCCTGAGTCTGTGTGTGTCCAGCTGTTTGAGAAGCAGACGTGGTGTGGATAGAAGGAGATACTGTGCATTCTCCAGGCCACTCCCTGCCCCCCTCTTCACTGGTCCATGGGTGTCATGTGTGAAGGTGGGGAGAGCCCGGGCAGGTGTGGGCCCCTCCAGGCCTTGGGGCTTCGGGCTATTTGTTGGGGATCAAGCCTCCATCCCTGTTCTTGTTGCCTGTCCAGATGCCAAAACTCTGTGCTGCTACAGGATTTGAACTTTTGGAAACTGATTAAAACGTGCCTTTTGTGGTGGGGTCAGGGGCTTCTGGATGTAGACCCCGCCCTCTGTTTGGCGCCCCTCTCCCTCCCTGTTGAGCACAAGGGGCTGGATCTGGTAGGATGCTAGGAACGGAAATGGATGAGGGGGCAGCCCTGTTGCTGCTCTGCCTTCCCCTAGAGTTAATTTCAGTAAAGGGTCCGGCCAACCTGCTGCTGCCCCCTTTACCTACCTGCTGTCTTCTCTTACTCCCTCAACACCAATAGTGGGGGTCCCGGGGGAAAAAAAAACTACATTCTGGAAGTGGGAGGTCCACTCTGCCTATACTTAGGAAAAAGCCTTCCCATCTGTCCTCTACCTGCTGTCCCAGCCTGTCCCTTCCCCTAGCCTTGACTGGCTTGGCTGTAGTGCACTTTGAACGAAGTGTCTGCCCTTTGGCCCAGCGCTGGTTTGCTTGCAGAAAACAGCAGGCTTCCCCATGGCATCTGCAGGGGACCTTTGGTGGCTTGGGGCACCCTGCCTTAGCAAAGTTGTGGAGTGAGGAGGTGCTGAAGGAGGCAAGTTCAGACCCAATAAGGAGGTAAGGGCTCCTCGGGGATCCCTCTTTTTCTTGACCTGGCCTGTGGGGTCACTCTCTGGGATGGCTCAGAAAGCCTCAGAAGGAGATTTGCTCTATGGAGGATGTCTTCCACCAGGACAAAGCAGAGGAGCCCACATATGGGGGAAAGCCCCTTAACATTATCTACCTTAAACACTCATTGAGGAGGAGGAAAGTGTCCACAGGCACCTAGGACTTTGGTCCTGCTTTTGGGGGGTCATTGGATGTTGGATATCGAAGGTATCTCTTCTGGGGGAAGAGGGTCACTCCGCCACTGGGTATTCCTCTGGGCTCTAGTCAGTCCCAGCCCTGAGGCTGACCTTCCACTCATCTTTGTGAACTTCCAGAAAGCCCAGGCCAGGGATGTCTCTGGAAGTTTGGAGTTGAAGCCCAGGTTCTTGTTGGATGTTTCTGCTCCTGGCCATGAGTTGGAAGGGCCGCAGGTGGGGTGGGCAGGGAGCAGGCACAGTTCTGCTTTGCCGTTTGTCTTCCTAGTTGTAACTCCTGTTTATAAAGACCTTGCTCTTCATGTTTCGAGCACTTTATGAAGAATAAAAAGTTCACAGACTGCAAGTGGCTCTGTTGTGTTCCTGGTTTGATGAGCATGTGGAGCAGGCTTCCTGGGGAAGGCAGGTCATGGCCTTCTTGGGGAACACTGTCACTGCCCTGACATCAAGGCAGCGGCACAGCATTGCCCAGCGGCCCGGGCTCAGTCCTTTTCTCACTCCCAGGATACAGTTATTGAATACTTGGGGGATACAGAGGATAAAAGACTTGATTCCTATTCTCAAACCATTTAGCCTTGGAGGGAAAGGTAAGCTACAAATCCAAGGTACAAATGGTTCTTCAGGGCTAGCTGGAATGTCTCTCCAGCTTTCAGGAACGTCTGTGTCTTGTGGTTCAACTGCTGGAGGATGAACTGACAGCTATGGATCATACATTGTTAAGAAACACATGGGAAGGCATGAGGCAACCCTGCACCTCACCACAAGACAGGAGATCCAAAGTGGGGTTCCCTAGGGTCAGACTAAATATTTCTACTGTACTCTTGTGTTCATTATCCCTGCTGGTGCCTTGCTTTACCATCTGCAGCACCCCCCTCCCTAAAGTCCTTGTAGTGCTCCCTAACCCCCCTGAGCCCCACTGGCCACTCCCAGTTCTCCCTGCCTAGGAATTAGCCCCAGGAGGGATCTTCCTTGGCAAAAGGAAGTGGAGGCTGCTAAGGCTCCTAAGACCTCCTGTGCATTTAACTCAGCCAACAGCTATAGGGTGTTCCCCCAAGATGTATACACACTTTGAATATTCCAATGGGTTAAATCGGAAAAGAAACATCAACGGAGCTATCAGCTTTTAGTAGTGGGTACATTATGGGGGACACCCTGTATTTGAGTCCCTACTGTGAGCTCTCCCATGTCTGGCACCATGGACTTAGCAGTGAATCAAAAAGTCACAACGGCCCTGTGGACCTTACAGTAGGAAAGACAAGACACTCAAAACAATTATAAATGCAAGGGCTGCAAAAGAAAGGCGTTGGTTATAGTGGGTTTTGTAGAAGTAGGGACATGGATTGGGAAACACAATGTTTGCATTGAGGCCATAAAGAGAGCCAGCCTCAGGCGAAGACAGTTAATAGTTTTCTAGGTACAGAATGTTCCAGGGTGGGCGGGGAGCACACAGCATGCCCCAGGAACCGGCTATCAGGGTGGCTACAGAGCACAAGGCAGGAGGCAGGTGGGACAGAACTGCAGTATTCCGCAGTGCAACTCCCGCAGAAAGCCTTCGGAGAGTAACCCTAATCCGCCTCCAGTCCTGGCCCATCAGGTCCGGAGTCCCATGCGCTCCGGGAGTGACGCCCCCCGCAGCAACTCAAACTTCTCGGGGCAGGGGACCGGGAGGGGTCGCTCCGTGGTCCCCTTGGCGGGGACCTGAGACACGCACACTCGCAGGGTGTGCAAACTGGCAGCGGGAACCCAATCCCGGTCTGCGTGGGCGCAACTCCGCAGTCTAGGGCTTTCCAGCGTCTTGGCAAGAAAAACTACACTCCCCACAACACTCTGCGCCTCCGACTCGCTGCGGTTGCTCATGGCCAATCCGGAGAGGTAGCTGTGGCGGGGGCCGAGGAGGGACATTTTAAAAGGGCCGGGGATTGCGGGCGTCAGTGGCCATGGCGGATACAGCGACCACAGCATCGGCGGCGGCGGCAAGTGCCGCTGGCTCCTCGACCGATGCACCTCCTTTCCAGCTGGGCAAACCGCGCTTCCAGCAGGTGAGGCCCGGGCTGCGCTCGGAGGGTCGGCGGGTGGCCCTGGGCGGGTGAGCGAACTCCTCTCCCAAGTCCCCTTTAGCCCCGGGGTCTCGGACCCGCGGCCACCCCAGAGCCTGCGGCTACTGGATGGGGACCTCGGCCAAAGCCACTCCTTCCCCATTGGCCAGCGGGGTGAGCGAGGACCCCCACCTCGGCTGCCCATTGGCCGTCGGCGCCGTCGCTCTGCGGCTGCTCGCGCCCTCCTGCCTTTCCCCGCGGAGACGCTCTGTGATTGGCCGCTGCGGCCGCGGCCGGGGAGGTGGGCGCCGGGTCCGAGCTGTGCTGCAGGGTCGCCTGGGGCCAGGCAGCTGCCCGCTCGGGGTGGAAAGTTCGAGTCCGGCCTGGAGGAGAAGCTGCCTGGGCCGAGCTGCCGCCTGCCCTTTTCCCCGGTGGGGACTGGCCGCCTTTCCGAGCTTCTGGAGGCGCCCCCGCCAGCGCCAGTGCCCCGGTCACGGTCCCAGCCCTGCACCCCAAACGGGTCCGCCCGCCGTGCGCGACGGGCCCGGGCCCCGAGTCCAGGGGTCCCCTCCGGCCGGCGATTCGCTGACGTGGCGAGTCGGCCGGCCGGTGCCCTGCGGAGGATGCAGCGAGGACTGGCGGGGAGAGCTGGGTGCGGGGCAAACGCTGTGTCATCCCCGGGGCAGGAGGGTGCAGCCCCGGAAACGGGCACCGGCCTCCGCCGCTGCCCCCTCGGCGAGGGGTCTGGGCACCTGAGCCCAGCGGCTCTGAGCGCTTGGCTCTGTCCGTCCTGCTCGGACCCGTCACCGGGGTCCTATCCTTCCGGGACACCCGGTGGGGCGTCGCTAACTCGGCCACGGAGACAGGGATCGAACCCGCAGCCTGGACGGGGCCGGGGCAGAGGCTGGGAGGGGCCATTCCCACGCCGCGGGCCGCCGCCGACGCGGGAGCCCAGCCTATGCTTGGGCCCGGCTGCCTGCAACGCGGAGGAAATGAACTTTGTTAGGAAAAGGGCAAAAGCCTTGGCTGAAGTGAGGGCCTAGGGTGCGGTGGGGCGGACAGAAGGCAGTTTGCAGGAAGAAAGGAAATGTGCAAAGGTCGGTTTTCCATTTTATTATTTATTAATTATTTAGTTATTATTTATTTTGGTTGTGGTGGTGGTGGTAGATAAACTGGTTCTAGCAAGGTGGTGCACGGAGCCTCGCGGATAACTAGGGAGCTGTGTTCTAGCTTTCTGAGAAAATGTCCCCACTGTTTTAAAAAATAGGACTTTAATTGCTTTAAAAAAGAAATCAGCACGGCATGTAGGTGTCTGAGGTGAGACTGTGTTCCTGCCAGTGTAGGGTGCTACCCGGGCGAGACTGTCAGGGGTGCCGCTGCCTGAACTTGAGTGACCCCTCATTGGCTGCCTCCCTTGCCCGGCCCTAGGCATTGGTCAAGGCTCAGCCAGGCCACCTCCTCCCTTCTTCCCTGTGACATTACCCGCCAACCCCCCCACCCCCAGGGTACTGACTCCTTTCCGCCCACCTCCTTGGCCACCCCAGTGGGATCCTTATAAGTCCGCCTGCCCCACGGTCCTCTGATACTCCGATTACCGGTCTCCTTAACTCCTGTGCGCACTTTCTGAGGAAAGGGCTGATCTTTGCCCTTCGTTGTCTCCATCCTAAGCCTGAGGTGGGGGCGCTGGATAAAGATCTGTGCGATGGCTTTTCTCTGGGACTTGTTCTGGGACATTCAGCCACACAACAGACATTTCTCAAGCCCGCCAGGGGACTGAGCCCTTTGCTGTGATCGCTGCTGGAGCCATGGGGCACATTTGGATCCCCTGTTCTGGCAGCCATTGCCAGCATCTCTCTGGCAAGCCTCTGGAAGGCAGGAACAGTGTTTGCTTTTGAAGGGCTCCTCCTCCAGCACAGGAACCTGCATAAAGCACAGGGCATGTGATCCCTGCATGTTAAAGAGCTCGCCTTCCCCCCAAACCTGTTCCCCACCACACTGCTCCCAGCCCTGCAGGCGGCCCCCCCAAACCTGTTCCCCACCACACTGCTCCCAGCCCTGCAGGCGGCCCACCCACCACCCAACTGACTCCTAAGAAACCTGGGAGTCACCTCTCCAAGTTTCCTCTCCCAAACCTGCTCTTTTCTGCTCTTCAGGCCCATTTTGGGCAAGTTGGGGCCCCTGGACAGGAAACAGATAGACATACATGCTTTTTCCCATTTGTATTTCAGTCTATCCGGAAATAAGTGGGGTTTTTTGTTTGTTTGTTTGTTTGCTTTTTTTAAAAAAAACTTTCTTGTCCTTCAGAAGTCTTGCTCATCTGCTAAGATAACTGGGGTTAGGTGCGTGCTGTGGGTGTGCTGGGCTCTAAAATCAGCTGAGGTCTATGGTGGCAGAGCATGTGGGTTGCACGGGGCTCCCTCTTGGTACGGGGAGCTTGCTGGGCAGGAAAACGCACTCTGCGCTCCTGGGTGCGGAGTTTGTGTGGGCTGAGGTCGGGGTCAGTGGGGAAGTTTCTCATGCAGTTTGCCTGAAGTAAGTTCTGAAGTGAAAGTGGCTTGTAGGTAGTTATGGGCTGTAATGATTTCTATCCTACAGACTTAGTGACTGTTCCTAGGGCTGGCCCTGGGGCCGGTTGTGCTGGGGAAAGGGTCAATACCTTCTAGTCCAGTGGCTCTCCGCCCCTGCTGCACATGGCTCACCTGATGCCTGGAGCCCCCCTCAGGCCAGTAGAATTTGAATCTCTGGGTGTCCAGCTGGGTTTTGGAATACCAGGTGACTCAGTGTGCAGCTTGGTCCAGGATTAGTGAGCTGGCCCAGTCTTTCTGCCTTTGAGCCACAGGTTCAGCGAGCATTTTATTCCTAAGCACAGTGATTTAGAGGGCTGGGTACAGGAGGCTGAAGGTTCCTTCTCAGCCCATTGCCTCAGCTGCTGCTCCCAAGGCCCGCTCTCCCCCATGGCTGCGGGGGTGGAAGGCCTTGTACTGCAGGCCCCAGGCCCTGCTGAGAATTAGCTGACTCACCTTTCTTGTGCAAGGAACTGGAAGGAATCACTTAGCTGACTCATTCTTCAGGTAAAGAAAAAGGGAAGGAAAAACATCCATCGACTGATTAAGAAAAGAGGGGGGCTGAATTCTGGAGGAGGGGGGAAGCCATACATTTTAAACTATTGAGAAAATAAAAATGAATTAGGCTGAGGAAGTAGAAACCTTCTCTGCCATTCATCAGGCTGGGAGGACAGGCATCAAAACAGCTACAAAGAAACAGGGTTCCTCACAAGGACCCGCTGCATCTAAACAGTGTCCCGACAACCTCGTCTTCCACACTCACTGAGAAATCACCTCTCCGAGATCTCTGGGGTCTCTTATACGGCCACTAATCCCACTCCTGAGGGCTGTGCCCTCAGATCTAACCGCCTCCCCAAGGCCCCACCTCGCATACCGTCACCTTGACCCTTAGGATTTAATCTATGACTGTCAGGGGGAGGGCTCAAATATTCCGTCTGTAGTAAGAACCACAGTATAGTTACTACATTAAGTAATTTAATATGGGTAAAATACTTTCAGTAATCTATGACCTACATTTTTGTCAGTTGTCTCAGTAGTGTCCTTGAAAATATTCCCACCCCATTCCTGTCCAAGATTCAATCAAGAATCATATGATACATTTAGTTGTCGCTTTAGTTTCCTGTGATGTGGGCTGTCCCTCAGTCCAAGCACAGTGATTTGTCTTTATGGCATTGTCATATTTGATGAACAAGGCCAGTTGATTTGTGGACTGCCCCTCAGTTTGGGTTTGCTTGATGTTCCTTCATGATTAGATTCAGTCCTTCCAGAATCCTGTGTGAGCGATATTGTGAACTTCTCAGGCATCACATCCGGAGGCACACAGTGCCCATCCCCCCTTCCTTGGTCCTTTTAACTTGCCCCCATCATTTGGTGATGGTGGGAGGGTGGGGGTGGCCCTTCATTACTTTCTGGCGCAACAAAATGTACCAGTCTCATCTCACCAGTACCTTCCCTGCCCCAGCCCTGGAACTGGCCGCTTCCCTGAGGAACCCTGATGCGTTTTAGTGATAAACAGGGTCTGTATGTCATTCTGCCTCTTTACCATTCACTTACCATCCATCTGGCTCTACTCATTTCCCTGTCTATTAATTGGAATCATCCTCTTCATACGCATTTCACATCATAAGCATTTTTCTGTGTCATAAGCAATCTCTTTTAAATGGCGGCATAGTGTTCAGCTGCCGTCCACCTTTACGAATAGTGCCGCAGTGACGTCCTCAGCATACAGTGCACCTCTGACCAAGCCTCCGGCTGTCTGACTGTTTCCTTGGGTGACATTATGAGGCCATTTTGCCCGGACAACAGCGTGAGCAGCGTGGGCTAGGCCATTTGGGTTGTGAGAGTTAGAGAAGCCATGTTTCCGTTAGGAATGGCCCCGAAGCTTGGTCTCTGGGAAAGGCAGGAGGTGGAGAGGCTGCTCCAGGGCGGCATGCCACGCGAGCAGAGCTGGAGGCAGCGTGGGGCCTGGTGTGCGCAGGGGCCTGTGAGGTGACCCGGGGCTACGACAGGGTCTTGACAGGGAAGGGAAAGGAGCAGACGGTGGCTGCAGGGTCGGTTTCCTAGTGAGCAGGGGGTGGAGTGTGGAGGCGTCTGTTCCCTCACTGCGCAGAGCAGAGGGCGGTGCTGGGAGAGCTGTGGGGCTCCGGGGAACATCTGGGACAGGGCCTGGGAGTGTAGCGAGGCATGACCCCCCAGCATTTGCAGCTTCTCCCTTTGTCCCCTAGCTTGGCACCCTGTCTCCTCCCCTGCTTGGCTTTGCCAAGCTGGCTCTGTCCCTAGGGCAGAGGGCCCAGCACCAGGGTTGCCCGGTTTCTTTTCATTGGGCTCTAATGCCTGTGGCCTGCTTTGCACAAAGCCCTTCTTTTCCACGCACCCTGCCCTGGGGCAAGGCCGGAGGGAGTTGGCCTCTGGTCCTGGGCCTCACAGCAGCTCCAGAGCCGTGGGTGAAGGAGGCCTGGGGGCCGCACGCAGGGGGCTGAGGTGCTGGAGCTCTGCCTCTGGGGAACTTGACCTGGGAGAGGGGCCTTCCCTCACTGGAGAGGTCCTGGCAAGGCTGGGAGGCTGTGGTGGTCAGGGAAGGCTGGGAGAGGGCGGGGACCAGGTCTGACCTCCAGCCCCTGTGCTCAGTGGTGGGGGGTGGGAGCTGCCGAAAGGCTTGGAGTGGATCTCAGGGCACCGAGGGAAAAGGGAGAAAAATGGGAGGCACCTTGAAGAGAAGTTGGGACAGTCACTGAGCCGTAATGGTCTTTCTGAATTGATGTTAGAAAGCCCTCCGACTGGGAAAACTTCTCTCAGGTCACTGAGCAGTGAGGCCTCATTGGTATTCATCTCTCATGTGGGGAGTCCTGGGGACTGTGGGCCCCAACAGTGGGGGTGAGGTGGGGGGTGGGGTCCCCCAGTGGCTGGAGGATGGTCTACAGCAGCTGATCTCCTCTCCTCTCCCACCCCCTTCTCCAGACTTCCTTCTATGGCCGCTTCAGGCACTTCTTGGATATTATTGACCCTCGCACACTCTTTGTCACTGAGGTAAGTCATGGCTGTCGCTCTGGGGAGGCCCCTTGGCCTTTGCACCTTGTCACTTTAGGAGATCCGTGGGCCATCTGTGTGTGTCCCTCATACACATTGTCTCATTTCATTTGGATCTCACCATGTCCCTTCCAGGGTAGATAGATCATCACCATCATCATCACCATCATTTCAAACTTTAATAAACTTATTTCCAACTACATGAGTTACATGCTCATTATAAAAGTCCAAACAGTACAAATGTTTAAGTAGAACCAAAAAGTATCCTTTATACACCCTTCGTACCCAGTTCCCTCCTCCCCTAGGTGATAAGGTATAATTTACCTTTTCCATGTGAACCATGCTATGAATTTTGACAAACATTCAGTCATGAATCCAGCCCCACAGTAACAATGTAGAGCATTTCTATGACCCGAAAATGCCCCCTCATGCCCATTAGTGGTCCATCTCCCCTTACCCAGCCCCTGGCAACCACTTACCTGTTTTCTGTCCCTACTGTCTGGCTGTTTCCAGAATGTCATATAAATGGAATACAACAGTGTGTGCCTGGCTTCTTTTCCTTCACGTCATGCTTTTGAGTTTCACCTGTGATGTTGCGGGTATCAGCACTGCCTCCCTTCTCATTGCTGAGTAGTTCCACTGAGAGGCTGTTCCAGCCTTTGTTTGTCCATCCACGTGTTGACGAACACCGGGGCTATTATAAATAAAACCGCTGCGAGCCTTCTTTGTGTGGATGTATGCTTTCACTTCTGTGAGTGAATAACTAGGAATGGGATCGCTGGCTCGTACGGTAAGTGTATGTTTCACTTCTTAGGAGTCGGCCAGACTGTTCAGAGTGGCTGCAGGTTTCACATTCCCATCCACCATGTTCCAGTTGCTCGCCATCCTCACCAACACCTGCTCTTGTCAAATCTGAACAGATTCCATTTACTTCAGCTGTCCCAAGAAGCGTGTCTTTGTAGCCTCTGTATATGTATTTACAAATATGTGTAGGGATGCATGCACACACAAAATAGCAAAGATTTATTAAGCACTTACTGTGAGCAAGGCAGTGTTGTAAGCATTTTACATGCATCCGATCATCAGATTAATGCAAAGCAACCCATGAGGTAGATCTATTTCAGTTCCATTTTGCAGATGAGGACAAAGACAGAAGGTAAGTCTCATGGTATGAACCAGGTAAGCTTGTCTCGGAGCCCTTACTCTTAGCCAGTTTGCATTCTTGTTGAGGCAACAGTTTGGGGAGCTTTTCCCCAAGATGACTGGGCGGGCGGGCCGCAGGCCTGAGCTGCTGCGCTGGCCACACCCCTGAGCAAGTCACTGAGCCCCTTTGTGGGCTTCCTGCGTGGACAGCACTTCCCTGCACATCTCTGTGAGCACTGCCTGGATTCAGCCCCGGAGCTGATCAGCTCAGGGAGGGAAGGGCCATGGCGGAAAGGAGCACAAGGCCTGCCAGGCCCCTGGGCCTGGAACACCCCGCACTGTGGGTGGGAGCAGCCAGGGCTGTGAAACGGGGCGTTAACTGGGTATGGTTTCCACTGCACGTCAGCAGGAGAGCGGGCTCAGGTATTTTATTGCTGGTCCTACCTGCCTCTGGGCCTACTGCCTCCTAAGGACAAGGCTGCTGTGCTCTCGGCTCCGTCTGCACTCTCCTAAGGAGTTGTCGATGCGATCACACAAGAATTGGGAAGAGCACCAAACTAGAGAAACTCCTTACCTGGCCTAGGTTATGCGTCTTTCTAGAAAGTTCCAGAATGGTGCAAAACTGGATACAGTTGCCACATAAATCCCAACATAAATGCTACCCGTTGATGGAGGAGTCAGCAGAGGCCAGTGCTTAGCTCAGAAGATGGAGGTGCTAACGGTGGTCTGAGGGGTGTTGAGAGGCGGCAGAGGGGCACTGAGAAGGTTGGGAGGCGTTTCAGTGCTCCCCAGTCACCGCGAGCTGAGCCAGCCGGGGCTCTGGGGATGGGTGGGCGGCTACAGAGTGACATGCTGCCTGTGCTGGAGGCCCACCCACCGCCAGTCCCCCTCTCCTCGCTCCCAGACACTTCACTCTACTACTCTGCGCCTGTACCACACCTTTCATCTTCAGCTCTCATTTTGAAAGGTGCAGCATTCTTGTACATCACTAAACCATTTGGGTCTAAATCCCATTACTAAATATACAAATCTCCTGCTTTATTAGTAATCGAACTCACTGTCAGAGCAATTATTTACTAGCTAGAAAATAAAACCACTGCACTGTGGTTTTAGGATATTTTTCTGATTTCACATATTCCCTCCCCTCATCAAAGATATCGACTTCCCAGAATGATCTTCACTTTTCCCTAGCACTGCCTCCACCGCCCCCCCCGCCCCCCTTGCCCCCCCCCCGTCCTCCCCCCCCCCCCCCCCGGCCTCCCCAGTAGTTGGGGACTGTTTCCACGACTGCCTGCTGGTCTTTTGGAAAGTTTCTGCCCACAGGAGATGTAGGCCCTAAAAACCCTGGAAGAGCCGTGAGTGGGGTCTTCAGGCCTTGCTGGTTCTAGTCGAGGCAGGTGGCTTGGCAAGGCCACAGTGAGAAATCGGAAGCCCTGAGAGGCAAAGGGGCTCTTCCCTGAGCCCCTCCCCACGAACTGTGGCGCTGCCAGGAGGGCCAGCCGCGCCCACCCCCCCACCCCCGCACTTCTGCTGGGCTCACTGACCAGGCTCCTGTCTCCAGAACACGGCTTCTCTCCCAGGGCCCTTGGCTGGTGTCCTGGGAAGCGGAGCGTGGGGCGCGGCTGCCCAGCCGGAGGACGGAGGACGGGCCAGTTTGCCTGTGAGGGTGGGAGGGTCGTGGAGGACAGGAGGAGGTGGCCCTGGAAACCAGTTTCCCGAGGTGGACAGATCCTGGGCAGCGTGAGCCATCGGGTGACCCGGTTCTGGGGGCAGTCGCTGACTGAACAGATAGACTTGTCTTGCGAGAGTTTGCAGCCAGTTGTTTGCAGTTTTTGAACTGACCAAGCTTTCCAAAGATCCCAGCCCTCTTGTGTGTAATGAGGCGGAGGAAGTGATTTCTCTTAGGAAGAAGAAGGCTGGCTTTGTTTTCTCACTGTGGAGCCGGGCTTCAGAGGAGGCGGCTGGTCTGCGTGGCAGGGGGAGGGACTGTGCTTTGATCCTGGAGGAGAGAGGAGGGAGGAGGCAGGAAAGGGAGAGAGTGGGAAGGAGAGCAAGTAACCTGGTGAGCCAGCGCCTGGGGCTCTTTTTTAATGTTTTTAATAGTTTATTGATTTGTGAAGAGAGAGGAAGGGAGAAGTGAAAAACATCTATGTGAGAGTATAACATCGATGGCTGCCTCCTGCACGCCCCCTACCCGGGGAGCCACAATCCAGGCAAGTGCCCTGACCCTGAATCGAACCAGCGACCTCTAGGATGCCCAACCAACTGAGCCACCCTGGCCAGGGCCCTGGGGGCTCTTGTGAGGTGGGTCGTGCCTACTGTGCTTTGATAGTCGTTGACCTGACCCAGTATTGTCCCTTCCACCATCATTCCTGGAAAGCTGTCAGCAAAGTCCGCCTGGCTCATGAAATGTCTGCAAGAGTGGATCATGTGAGGGGATATTGAGGGGGTGTGGGTCTCCGTCAGGGTGCTGTGTGTGTGTGTGTGGGGGGGGGGGTGTCAGGCCTGAGGAAGGAAACAGCCGGGAGCCAGCATGGATGTCAGCTTTGGCCCTCCACAGAAGTCATGGGATTCCACCTAGGCCTCTGAGGGCAGCGGTGCTACTTTAATTATGGGCTGAATGAAGGTAAAGGGATTGGCCATTCTGAATTCAGTGACTATTTAAGGCAACGAATGGCTGACAGATGATCATTCTGAAGAGCATAGAAAACTAACAGGCACAGCGTTAACCGCACCGTTTCAGCGCTAGCCCTGGAGTGGCTGGTGATCTGGAGCCTGGGGCCGAGGTGTAGGCTAGAACCAGTCAGTAATTATATGGATGTTGGGAACCACCATCACCTGGGAGCAGGGAGATACAAATGTGAAGTAGGGAAAAGACAAAGAATTATGTGATGTTGAATTTGAATTGGAGGTATCGGTGTGAACTCATGATTCACACACACACACATACACACACACACACATTTCCCAGTTTCCTGGCTCTGCTCACTGAAAGGGCCTAGAATGATACCTGGTAACGATGTACCACTCACCATCCATAAAAGGAACCAGGGCTTCCTGTAGAGATGGCCAGATCCACACGTGGGGCAAGGAGAATTGTTACGTAAAGTAAGAAAGTGCACAGAGAGTGACCGAGACCCCGTAAATGGCTTGAAGGGCAACCCACTGGCCACATTTGGGACAATTCCAACCTTAAGAAGAATAAGAGCGATGGATTATGATACACTGAGTAATAATAATAAATCCATGAGTCCATAGTAATACTAAAAATGTGGGAGAGGGAAGCTCTTTGCAGAAGAGTGTCAGCTAATAAGCATAGAAGGAATAACCATTGTATAATCATTAATGGACGCTATTTCTGTGGAGCCAAAGACAGTTGGGGACAGGATATTCGTGTGCTCTTTAGCAGTTTCACCCTAAGGATTACTTACCAATTACAAAGGGGAAAAGGTGCCTTTATGGCGGTTGGAGGATACCCCTTTAACCAGATGACCACACTTAGCATCACTGACAATGAAAAAAACTGACACTCTGTGCCTCCTGATATGATGTGATTCTGGTATTAACCCCTACATATAGGGAAATATACGAAAGTCTAAAGAAGAAAGTAAAAACTGCTTATTACCCCACCTGCCAGAAATAATAATCTAGCATTTTGGTGTATGTTTATGTTCAAAATTAGGATGTTTACAAAATATGTATAAATGTAGCTCATTAAGAATCACGTATGATATATTTGTATACGTAACATAAATGTATACATAATATATATTCTTTTTCCATGTAACATACCATGAGCATTTTTCCTTGTCATTAAATGTTGTTTTCAAAATGTGTTTAACAATTGCACGTAATTT